CATCATCAGCATTTGAACACTTACACCAATAGTTCACTTCTGGTGAAATTAATATCCACCCAAAAGTTCAGGTATTATAACTTCAGCATGAAACTTCAAAGCAATTTGTGAATGTTGTTCCCAAAAAACATGTTTCTCGGACATTGAAGATATAGAAGGGATTTTGTATTAAACCAGCCAGAGCATCAGAGCAACTGTACCTATTTATATTTCTGCTATTGGTATGATGGGCACAATCATGGTGAGAGTGGTGGCAAAGCACATACATCAGTACATGAAACTGTTCCTTATTAACTTGCCCAAGCCTCAAGTTACTCATTAGCACAGAATCTGTGAATATTTTACCTATAAAAAAATTGCATAAGATATACATGAATATGAGGTAGGAAATATATTTAAAAATATATGAATAACATAATTTCATCATTCAAAATGTTCCTATCATGAAAGTTATTCAGGTATAAAAGTAAAAAGTTACCTTTCCAACTATGACATGGAAATCATTCATCTTCCTGTCTACTTCCTGGACAAAAGTTGGTGAAAAATTCTTGTGAACAACAAGGGTTTTGAATGCTTTCATTTGCTCATGAGGGTAGAAACTGTGGGTCACTATATATGAATAGTAGGAGAGTATAATTATGAGGTAGTCTAATCAGTCAGCAGTTTCAGATGTGAAGGGCTTCAAATCCTTGATCAACATCAGCTTCATCAGATATCTACAAACAAATTATGGTTGTATGATAGTTTCAGGAATGAAAATTTACTGGTTAGTTGAGAAAAATAACCGAAAAAACAATAAATATTCATGTTTACCTCTGACCAACCTCTGGGTTTTCCTGCAATAACTTCTGGAAATATGAACTCAGCATATTGAAGCACTGTTCAATTCAGCTCCGAGACTCCCTCAAACACCTGACACATAAAACTACCAGAATAATAAGGTGATTCGGGCAAAATACAATTCAATTACAAGTGATGTATAATCTTTGTTTGCCAACCAGACGCCATCTTGTCAGCTAAAATGTCACGTGGTTTGGATTGCCTAATATATAATTAGCACTATTTACTTCCGATGATTCGAAAAAATTCGACCATTTTTCGTGTGCACCGCTGAATTCGGGCATCGATAATAGTGGAAATTTGACTACCGACGTTGGCATTACTAGTGGATGGCATATATTTTGTTTGTGAATTCATATTTGTATTGATAAATTCTGGGGTGAATGATGCTTCAAATGTTCCATCTCAAGAATTTGTTTTTGTGCATCACTGATTTCTTCATTCGCGCTTGTTACCTGAGAAATTCATCGAAACATTCCTCAACTGGTAGTATTGGTGGGGGACTCTTTGCACGTAAGTAACTAGTCCCTATACTGGGACCTTTTTGCAAGCCCCAATGTGTTTTCAATGAGTGATGTAGTTCGCGTAAGAGAGCTGGCTAACATCCTTTTCAGGCACCGCCCATCAGCTCTCTTTCAGAGTTTTTCGGAGAGACCGAGGTCCACTAAGCAGCATTGGCACGCTCTCACTCTCAGCTGGTACTTTACCACACCCACCTACATACACCGTCCAACTTCTTCTCTGATGCTCACAACCACACCACCATCTCTTTCTGCGTGTTTTGTGTAGGCTTCGTTACTAACTCCATGCGCCACTTTAGGAGCAGCACTGTTAATTAGAACGCAACAGCGGATCGTGCAGGACTATCCCCAGCAAATGCTCCGAAACTTGACGATATTTAATTCGTAAATAAAATATTGAAAAAAGTTCCTTGCTCGTGCTAGAAATCGAACACACGACCTTGCGGTCGTGAGACGGAAGCTCATCTTCCACTGCGCCAATCCCGGCTCCAAACATTGCTCAATCTTTGTGGTCTTAGTGATAATCGACTGAATTGACCGACTTTAGGGTCATTTTCATGGTTAATGAATTTTGTTAATAGACCCTTAATGACTACAATGCTAATTGTTCGTTTTCTATATTTACTTGCAATGTATAACAACATAATATATTCGTACACTATCATGCCACTAACTTCGCACGCCTTCGCTTAGACCAAATACTGAACAGTAATACCTCTACTGTATACGACTTGAAAATACTTTGAATCGAATATAGTTTGGAAGGACTGCTCACGATACTGATTATTTGCATAAACTTGGAAACTACTGGCTGGTACGATTTCTTCGCTTGTCTTGACTACTGTTGGCTCTTGTTTCTCTCAGCTTTCATTGCACTTCGACACTTCGTATACTTCTGCTGGCTTCGGATGATCACTAATCCGGCTCGAAGGACCAATATGTTATCTCCACTTGATTTATTTTGTTCGAAAATGATGGACTGTATAACTTTGAACACAACGTTTTAATGTTAATATAATACTCGCTCGGTACAATTCTTGCTTTGTCAAGCTGTTTTTTGATAGGTACTATATAAAAATAACATAAAATTGGGCAAATGCAATAATTCATCGAACGAAGCTCTGCTTCACGGCGGGTTTCGAAGAATAGCAGGTACTACCTACTCTCTCCGCATACTCAAACAAGGGTTGAAATATATAAGAATTCCCAAACACCACCCACGAGGTCAAATTATTTTCCGGGCATTTTTTCGAGCTCATGAATATTTTGGAAATTATCCCTCTCCTTGAAATTATTTGATCTCTAGTGGTTTTACAAGTGAAAATGTTTGTGCATATAGTATCTAGGGCTCTTAGGGGTCGGAGATTATGATTCTCTTATCAATATCGGGAAATTGAAGATGGCGGACCATCAGTTTCGTATAATTATGATCCGATTCTATTCCAAATTGGTATCCGTGGGTTTTGTGGCTCGGAGATTATTATTCTTTCGTCAAAATTGGAGATTCTGAACCAGTCGTGCACTGGCTGATTCAATATGGCAGATGGGTCGGAGATTATGATTCAATCGTCAAAATTGGAGAATTCTAGATGGCGGATCCAATATGGCGAACGAGCTATGTAATAAATAGTTGTTTGAAAAAATAATGAAACACTCTTTTATACAGAGTGACCCATTTGAGAGCGGGCCACTCTCATACATTCTTTATTTGTGGAGCGATTTTCTCGATTTTTTCCTTCGAAATGTAGAGGGAGGAAAGTCGTATTTTGTAGCTGAACGGAGTCGTCTATTTTTAAATACCAAGGCCTACTAGATCACAATCAGAGTCTGGAAAATCCAGAATCCATATATATTAGCGATTTTTTCTGAAAAAATTTGCTTGGGCACACCACCCATATAGCACTCGACGTCCTGAGGACGTCCAGTTTAGGCCCGATTTAGGTCTGAACGTCCGGGACCTTTACAAGACGTACTCAAAACGTCCGTTTCTGGGCGCACTGGGTACGTACGATTACGATGTACTGGGTACGTCCAACTCTGGACTTCATCGACTTTCAAGGGACGAGATTGAATAAAACTGTATATATATATAATGATATTTGAAATCATTGCACATAATTTATTCTACCCTCGATCTCTGATATCTATTCATTTAGGAACCTTGCAAATGAACATAATACAATTCTCACAATTCTTTTTTACTAGCCGTACCTGATCACAAAACATCTATTCAGGTATTCTCTGCCATGATCATCTAATTCTATGCAAGTATTGATGTGAATAAGGATCAATCAACATTCACACATAATATATTGTTGTATACTCTGACATATAATCAAGTCTTCTGTAGAGTAATAGGTAGAGCATCTGCACGGTAATCTGAAGGTCGCGGGATCGATCCCCGGTAGTAGCACAGTATTTTTTTTTTTTTTTGGTCAAAATAATATTTTTTTAACCTATCTAGGTCTCTATGTTAACTATTTGAGTAGAAAAAAGGTGGATCAACGTTGATCCAGGTATTAATGGTCCCGTTCAGACCTGAACAGGACCTTCAACGTACGTCCTAGGGACCTCTGGTTGTGTAACATCGTATGTCCCCAAAACGTCCTGAAAACGTACGCCGTACCTGAAATGGACGTTCTGGGGACGTTTCCAATGCCCGAGGTGTACGACTTGAGGACGTTTTCGGGACGGTTCTGTGCTATCTGGGCACTGTAATAAGCGTCCTTTGAAATAGTTAAGTAACAAGTTTAATTGAAAAATATTCAACATTAATGATTCGTACCAAATTTGGAACAGTATGAATAACCATCAATATGATCAGTTTTTCAAAGATGATGAACTTCCTTATGGGAATGAGAAGGGGTAAATTTTTTATGAAATCATACTAGGAATTGATTTGCAAGAAAACTAACTTCATAACTTCCTCGTGCTTTGGAACTTTCATATGCAAAAAATCACCTCAATCCTAATTAACATCAGGATTGGCTCAATTTTTTTCATTTCCAGCCTCGGAAAATAGTTATTTCAGAATAACTGCAAATTTTGGAACGTTCAATAGCTGTCGTGGTAGGTAGGAAATCGTGCTTTGAAAGAGAAAACGAGATAAAGTATGTTGAACTCACCGTTTCCGAGTAAATAATAATTATTGAACTAAAAAGAAATAGAAAATAAAATGATAAAGGTGTGTTGATAAATATTCAGCTGAAGAAATATATTCTAGAAAAAATGTATATACACCTACCGGGGGACCATTCATCTTGAGACAAAATCATTTCCAAAAAATTTCAGTCAAATATTGTAAGGCACCGAGGGAGCTATTGAAAGGTCCATATAACAACTTCAGGACTCAGGTCTAGACCCGAAGTGGAGTTTTCAGACCGGAAGTCGATTTTTTTTAAATAAAACCCATTTTTCAGCACTGATTTTCGATTGAAAACCAACAATAAGTAAATACGTTTTGTTTTTGTTTTTTCGATTTATACCATATCGTTGTCATAATGGAAAAAAACGTTTGCCGGGTCAGCAAATTTCAGCTCCGATTCCCTCAGAGAAATTTTCTGGCGACGCCTTATCATTTTGTTGTGTATATGTTTTATTAACGATAGATACATAAGTATATAATATAAATACAGGAAATTAAAAGGTAAATCCCACAATCAATATGCCGTAAAAAAATATCCGAATTTCTTTGTCACTTTTCGATAGATCTTGTTGCATCGATAGAAAATTGTTTGTCATCCCTCCTCCCTCTTAGTCCAAATATGAAAGTTTTTGGTTTCGGCACGTTGGTATAGGCATCCTTATTTGTCTGTACTTCTTTATTCTTCTGTAGATAAGTTTGAGTCCTTATGGATTGTGTGCTATGATTCTTCAGAGTTTGAGTGGATGTTGTTGTGCAATTAGATACATTCGCCTGCAAGAAAAATCATCTGATATTTTGTGTCAATTATCTCCAACAATAGTCATTCGATTTGTTATTCGCTAATTCTATAACTGAAAATCTAGTAGGCGAGGTATATATAATGTTATCAGCTCACTGTCCCAATAAAACATGACTACCTGTCAAATACTGACAAATGTCAATAGCCCATTTGTTTCAATTGAATATTTGTCAATGTCGACAACTTCGGGTTGGAGAGATACATTTTTTTTCTGTACGAACTCCACTTCAAACGAACTGAGACGCGTGGCGCGCGTATGTTACTTGCTGGAGCTGCTCCAATAATGTTGGAAAAATTTGATGAACAATTATCTTATGTAAGAAGTGAAATATCCATGACCAAGAACTAAATAGAGTCTCATCTTTCCTGCTTCTACATATTTTCCTCATTTTATATGTGAAGTTATTCATTTCGTTTTAATAATATATCAATGATCTTCCTGATAGCATATTTTCAATGTTAAATACCTTCTACTCAACAATCATTATTTTTCGTTCCTCAGTTGACGAACTATTTGTATACAGGGTGTCTGTAAAAGGTCTTTGCAAAAACATACCACATATTCTTCAGACCAAAATAAGTCGATTACAGTAAAATTACCTTAGTACAAAGTTGCATCGTTTGGCCTCCAGAGAGCCTTGAAGTTACAATTCTTGAATCGTTTTTCCCATATAAATTTGAAACGGCATATGCGATTTTGCTGAAATTTGGTATATTGATAGAGTTTTATGTGGCAAAAAAGTAGGTGTTGAAATTTTGTCCGATAATAATACATAGGCGTAGAACTTAATTTTTTAAATAATTACACCTTTAAAAATTTTACGCCAATGAAAGAAAAGGAGTTTGAGTATGACATTTAGATTACGCAACTCATTTACTTTAAAAAAGGTACTCTTGATAAGACTCGATTGCTCTCACGGTTTTGACGAAATTTGCATTTCAGTAATTTTAGAACATAAACAATAATTATTAAAATACAAACTTTGTCAAAACCATGAGAGTAAATCGAGTGTTATCAGGGGTACTTTTTTATAGTAAATGAGTACCCAATCAAAATTTCATACTCACCCCTTTTCTGCCATTTGCGTAGAATTTTTAAAGGTGCAATTATTCAAAAATGCGTGAAAATAGTAAACATTTTGAACAATTTTTGTAAAATCTCCATTTATTTTGATTATGTTGTAAATAAATATTTTTGTGAAAACTATACACTTCAAATTATTAAAACAGAAATTCAGCGAAAACCATGAGAGTAATCGAGTCTTATCAAGGGTACCTTTTTTAATGTAAATGGGTTGCGCAATCTAAATTTCATACTCAAACTCCTTTTATTCTGAAATTGTTGTTGTTCTGAAATTGTTCTATCCGTCATTCGGTTGCCCCCTTACGAGCAACCCTCAGAAGTCTTCGAGAGTCTTGTGCGAGCAAGGAATGACGGGGGCCTTACCTTTTAACGTGTGATCCCAAACACTTTCTTGGGCCATCAGAAAAATTTCTGCAGTCGACGGGACTCGAACCCACGACCGGCAAGCGAATGCGGATTAGAATATGGACACTCTGTCCGCACGGACCTGGCCCCTTCTATCGGCGTAGAATTGTTAAAAGTGCAATTATTTAAAAAATCAAGTTCTACGCCTATGGATTAATATCGGACAAATATTCAGCACCATTTTTTTGCCACATAAAACTTTATCAATATACCAAATTTCAGGAAAATCGCATATGCCGTTTTAAATTTATATGGGAAAAACGATTTAAAAATTGTAAATTCATGGCCCTCTGGGGCCCAAACGATGCAACTTTGTACTAAGGTAATTTCACTTAAATCGACTTATTTTGGTCTAAGGAATATGTGGTATGTTTTTGTAAAGACCTTTTACAGACACCCTGTATATACACTCATCGGCAAAAAAACGGCCAACAAATAATTTAGCCAAATTGATCGCCCTGTAACTCTTTCGATTCTTGATCGATTCTGGTTAAATTTCGATTGAATCGTAGATTTATGTTTCGGAGTGTTCACTTGATTTTTAATTCTAGAAAGAGCTGATGGCATGATCATTATACAGGAAAAAACAAAAGTTACTACTCTTCGACCCTTGAAACCCGCAAGGGACCGCGCCAATAAAAACGTAAACGTGGACCGCGTGGGGTAGTTTACTTGTAAATAATAGGTTCTTTTTCAAACCACTTGAAACGACCATGCGCGATAATTTCTGATATGAGACTGAGCTGAGTGGTGCACAGCTTGATGTTTGATTCGCCATCTTAATGACTAATCACCCTCACCTCATTGGTTTTGATTGAATTCCAGGACTTGAAGAGAAGAAAAAAACCGTTGTCCGACATGAAATTGCATTATTTATGACAATAATAAAACAAACAAACAACAATAGTAAAAAAGAAACTCAATTTGATTGATATACTTGAATTGAATAATGAATTTCAATAAACGAATAAATATTATACGCACGTCCCTTTTCTAAATTTATTTCTCAATTTTTCTCCTGGATAATATGAACATTTGACTACCATTGCAGACTGCTCGTTTTGAGGTTTAGGTCTCTCCCGTGTGGGGTATGGATATAAAACAGGAACAATTCACACTGTTTACTACGATGTGTGCAGAACTAATGACGAAACACATGCAAAGACTTGTTAATTGTTCATATTTAGCAACTGAGCTGGCGTGATTTTTCAGTGCCGTGCAGTTTGAGTAAAAAAATCGTAATTTGATATCCCCTGGGGTATTTTCTACCCCGCGCGGTTCCTCGCTGGTTAACTTCGTAACCCTCTGTATCAAAGTTGAGTGGTTATAGACTTAGCTTCATCATGTTTCGGATTGGAGTATGATCCCTTGTCAACACAATGGTTTTTTATTCACGTCTATATCTTATTTTTAAGAGAAGATACAAGTGTTTTGAAAAATTTTGGATTTCTTGAATCTTTATTAACAAAAATTCAGAACCATATTCTCCGCTTCATGTTTTGGATTGAAGTGTTGTAGTGTGATTGTCATATGAGTTTTAAGAAAAAAGTAGTATATGATGGTGAAGATTTATACTTGAGTTTATTGGAATATAGAACAAAAATGATTGATTCCAATATCCCTTCTCCTATATATCGAAGACTGGAACCTTTGGCACGATAATACACTACACTGTTTTACCACTAACCAAACTGATTTTTTAATCGCCTCGACAGGTGTTTCGCTAACTACGTTAGCATCTTCAGGGGGATATTAGAACTTGTTTCAAAAAATCGGTTTGGTTAGTGGTAAAGCAGTGTAGTGTTTCCCTTCTCCTGCCAAAATGCTATTTAATAGAACACTAAACACATTACTTCCTAAATTTAACATGCTGAATATAGTGATGATGCCTTGGCTCGAATTAAAACACCTTAACTGAGAAACATTTCAAACAGAAACATTTTGACAAACATTCGGTAGAGAGAAGAGTAGAATTAGGAAGGTGAGATAAGGTAAGGGTACAAAAACATGATAAGTCATCTTGGAAACCAGGTAAAGTGGTTCATATTCCAAATGAACCCGAACTTCCATTGTTGAGTTAGATAATGGTTCAGTGATTGAAAGGAATAGGAAATACCTTATTCGGGAATCAAATAAAGATAAAAAATATATTTTAAACCGTTCTTATGTAACACATATATGAATCCTAGACCATAAAGAGTTGTGAATAAACCGCTAATATTCAAGGACAATATTTGCTCAGTGTCTATAGGTAATATATAATATTGTATATAGTAGTCATATTTGTAAAACTAGTAAGTAGTTAGTTGATATATTTTTCCTTTGTTTTAAAAGGAGGGAGGTGTAGTGTGATTGTCATGATGTCATATGATGTTGGCAACACTGTAAGGGTTCAATGTGTTCAAGCCCGTGATATGACAAGTGACAATAAGTGAAATGGTCGAAGCATTCAGAGTCCAATAAATGATGTATAATAAATGGGACTCAATAAATAATATCGGTAATTTTCTATGTAAATAATAATGTGTCCAAAGTGTGTATATATATTTGTGAATAGTAGTGCAGGGTTTATGTATTAAACAATCCCATAGCCACACACATACAACATGAGACATTAATAGCGAATTCCATTCGTAAACCTGGTGGTGCACTGGTTTTGCACCAGTTTTGCACCCGCACTACGTTAGTTCTCTCCAAAATGTGAACTGGTGCATTTCCAATGGAATACGAAATAATATAATAAAATTTTATTGTTGGAGGTTAAATCGGATCGCACGACCTATTAGAGCTCGTGCGAGAATTGTTGCACTGAGGCCACTGAGCTCTAAACTATGCAAACCAGTTTTCCAATGGAATTCAAAATCCGACACCAGTTTTACCAATGGAATACAAAATATGCAGTCAGTGCGAGCCAGTTTTACCAATGGAATTGTTGTTGTTAAATTGCTCCGTTTATAGATTCATGAGTATATATTTTTCATATTGACTTTGAATCTTGTTTCATCATTCATTATGTTTCAAATCATAAGGTAACGAATTATATAAAATGATTCCGTTGTAGAATACTGATTGTTTGCCAATGATGGAGTTATATGGGTTTGCTATTAATGAATTCAACTGTCTCGTTGCATGAGTATGAATTGTATTTACTTCAGTAAAGTTCAAGTTGGATATTTTCATTTTTTTTTCTTACAAAATGGATGAAAGAACAAATTCTCATTTTATATAAAGATGATAAATTCAACAGATTTTTTGGTTTGTAAAGATTAATATTAGTTGGTTACAGGTAATGTAAATTGTAAATGCACTTAATTGTTTTATTTTGTAATTTCATTAATGGTTTCAAATGATGTGATATACTGTGCTTCCCCAAATCGATATTAAAAAATATTGTAATTTTGAGTAAATCAGACAGAAATATACAGTGTGCCCCACTTACCATGCTCACCATGGGTAACCTATCTTTTTAACGGTGAGAGATACGAGGTCGGTTAAATGACACCAAATGTGGAGTTTGTCAAGGCCAACTATAATGTGAAAATATATTTTGATAAAATCTATTCGTTTTTGTTTTATACGCAAAAAACAGATTTTCATCATTTTCATGTCTCCTCCATAACTTCTTTATTTATGAAAATATTCAAATAGGCATTCCACATTCTCATGGCAGTTTTTCAAAGTGATTTCGAAAAAAATATGAAATTTATACCAACTCTTCTAGAATTTGAAATATCAGCACCAACTTTAGTTTTTCAAATGTAGGTCATAGCTCACTATGACTTAGTTACAAATAACTTTTTTTTCTCTTACAGATGATATGTCGCAGTGATAGTTTTGTGTTGATAAAAACGGAGTTATCGTCATTTATAGAAAAACAAAAAATTATTTGGAAGCCGCTATCTTTCAGGAGATCACACTTTCACAGAATTTTTCAAAAAATTGTAAATTATATAAGCAAAAACGAAAGTTTGACAACAAATTTCATTCATTCGAAAATAATTACTCGCAGTGCATAAATTTTACAAATAAAAGTAAAACTCACATTTTCAATGCTTCAGCCCAATGGAAATTAACCAATATCGGCTGATGATGTTTTTTTAAATGAATACCCTATATATCATTGCACTTCTAGGTTCTCCCTGATGAGGAGCTAATTTCATCAATGTATCACACTCGGAGTCTAGCAGGAATGATAACAGAAATATACTGTGTTCATAATCGAGATTTTTCAATTTTTTGTGTCGAAAATAGTCGTTATTGGTCAAACGCCTCACATGTCTCTCTATCTTATTCTTTGATTTACTATCTATATACTGACATTTAATTGGAACAGCCGCTTTGACCATAAATGAATAGTTTCGACACAAGAAGTTGAAAAATTTCGATTTTGAACACCCTATATCTCTGTTATCATTTCCGCTGGACCATAAGTGTGATACGATGATAAAATCAGCTCTTCAGGAAGGACCTAAATATGCAATAATATACAAGGTGTCTCATTAAAGAAACCGTCATCAGCCGATTTCTTGGAATTTGAACACCCTATAGATATTGAAATAATTTCAGGTGATAGTTCTCATGACACCCTTCAACTATTGTATCTGATTTTCTTCAATATATCCGACGGTTTGACCAATATCGAAGGAGAACATACTAACCCTGTGTAATGTGGTATAGTGTATAGTAATAATTTACCAGAACTAAGGCTTCCCTTCTTAGATCCCAAATGTTCCATTTATACTTATGTTCAATGTGTGGAGCTTGAACATAAGTGGCTTCGAATTGTACTTCTTTCTCTCCAATTACTTTAACAACTTCCATCTCTTCAACTAACCTAGAAAATTGGAAAAAATCGTTTTCACTAGGTACCTTCACATAAATCGATAATCAATACATATATTCGAGTAAACAATATCGATGCAACAAGGAAAATGTAATTAGAGAAAGTTAATCTGATGATAAAAGTATATCATTAGGTATCTACTATCTACCCCTCAAATACCCTAAAGATAACTACCCATACAGCACATAACATCCATTGGACGTCCATTTTAGGTCCATTTCAATTCCAAACGTCCATGGATATTGAATGAACATCCAATGTACGTACAAATATGGATTATCATTGGATGCTTTAAATTGTATGTACAGTGGACGTCCACTCAAAGTCCAACCACGCATGTACGTAAAATGTACATTCATAGTACTTATAAAGGTGGATGTACAATGTATGTTTCGAAATTAACATCCGTTGGACATCCATTTTATGTCAACTCATGGAGTAAAACTCTCGTGGACGTTTGATCAACATCCATTGTACGTACAGAGACGGACGTACATTGGATGATACAAATTATTCGTACATTGGATGTCCATTTAACGGCCATTTTAAGTTCAAGCGTTCATGGATGAAGAATGAACATTATATTTATATGTATATAAATAATTGTTCAAAGTAAATGTCTATATGAGATCATTTTAAATCTGAAGGATCATGGACGATGAATGAACGTACATTGTACAGGTTGTTATTCATTTTTAATGGGCGCGGTTTGGTAGAAGCAAGGAGTACCTAAGTATATAGCAATGTAAATAAGGCTTCATTCACCAGAGTTAAGCTGAACAGGATTTGAGGTATAGACAATCGATTTCTACCTATATAGCAACTTTTATAATATTTCTCTTCTTTTACAGAAACAAGAATTTAAAGTGGACTGAAGAAGACATGAATCAACAATATATTTATATATATGCAATCGACACCAAATATATATCTCAATAGAAAAATCTATATTTGTTACCTACTGATTTTTCATCATTTGATTCCCAAAGAAGTACGTCCAATGGACATTCTTTATGTATGGCCATTGGAAATCCGAAACGTACGTACATAAGATGTTATATCTGGACATTCATTGGACGTATATGAACTACATGTACTACGTCCAATGGATGTTTTTGATGTACGTCCACTGGACATCCATGACGTACGTACATACATAAGATGTTAGCACACATATATTGGGACAATATCGGTGCAATATTACGAAAATATCGGCAAAATATTGTGAAAGTAATATTGGCGAGAAAAAAAATGTGAACATTCGGCGATATTGGTACAATATCAGTTTCCAAATGTGGGTAGAATATTCTCATATTAATATTGGTTGAATATTCGTAGAGTAATATCGGACACAAAATGTTATATCAATATTGGCGAGAAATTAATGGTGAACATTCGGCAATATTGGTGTAATATATGGAAATATCGGTGAATCATTGGAAATTATCATGAAGGTATGTTGTCTCAGAAATATTGGTAGAATATTCTCATACCAATATTGCTGGTATATTCGTGAAGTTATATTGGTCACGAAATGTGATATCAATATACTGGTGCAATATTGGTTGGAAATATTGGTACATTATTGAAAATCATTATGTAGCTATGTTGTCTTCAAAATATTGGTGGAATATTTTCATACCAATATTTGCGAGTTATTCGCATCAGGAATAATCACAAAGGTCAGCCCAGCTGGAGTGCAATGGGAGGGCCTTGCCCTAGGGAAGCCGCCTTGTTGATCACGGTTAACCCCTACTCCAGGTTATAATACTTTACAATCGTCTAGAGCCAATATTTAAATTCTCTCGTCGGATCGGCAATGAGAGTACGTTACCAATCATTTATAGCGCCATCTATCGACATCGGTGTAGGAGTGCGTAATATGTAATAAATATCGAAATTTCGATATCGATATGTATTCTCAAAACAATATGTGAACATGATTGCTTACATGATATAGTGAATCACATATCAACCGATATGCAATTGAACTTGAAAATACAATATTGTTTTTCTCTTCTATGTCCGATATAAGATACATATTGAATTGCCGTTATTGATATTCATATTTGAATCATTGAAAACCCCTTCAGAATCGACATGTGGGGAATGTTCAAATTGCTATATTGGTTATTATTGTTGGAAACAATATGTATACGATATCTTCCGCATGATATGGATAGAATGATATTGATCAAGATAGGTGAATATGATATTTCGAATATTGTTGAAACAATATTCAACCAATATGCCGTCGAACTCAAATATACAATATTGCACAACCGCTTCAGAATCAACATGGGGACAATATTCAAATCGCAATATTGGTTATGAATGTAAGAAGCAAATTGTATAACGATATCTTCCGCATGATATAGATAAAATGATATCAATCAAGATGGGTGAATATTATGTTTCAAATATTGTTAAAACAATATCTAACCGATATGCCGTTTAACTTGAATATACAATATTGCATAACCGCTTCAGAATCGACATGGGGAGAATGTTCAAATTGCAATATTGGTTGTAAATGTCGGGAACAATATGTATACGATCTTGTTGTATCGACATTCGTAAAACAATATTATATAACATTCATAGATATGTTTTTCAACACATTGTTAACGAATTTTACAACCAATATTGCTCCAATATTGTAGCTGACAATCCATATTCAGCTCAGGTTGAACCAATATTCCACCAATATTATCATTCCAATATTGTTTGTCCAATATACTCTCATATTGGACCTATATTATTTTTCACATGTACGATATATCTATATCGGCCCAATATGAAATCGGGTTCCAGCCAATATGATGTGCTACCTGGGTATATCCAGTGTATCTGGACGTTTATTGGACTTATACCGGACCTTTATGGACCTAAGTGGACGTCCACTGGACGTCCATGATGTCCATGATGTACATCCAATGGACACACATGGGACGAACATGTGCTATGTGGGTACTAGATCCCAGGAAGCACAAAAGAATTTCAGAATGTTGATTAAAGATTTGGAAATGGCTGATGGTTCTTCTGAAATCCAAACTAATAGGGTACGACCAGCCCTCTGTTAAACGACGATGTAACGATCCCAAGTATACGAAGAGACTTGATAAGGTTTTCAAAGACTTAGGTTTTGAAAGCGTTTATCAGTCTGGGTCAAAATTAGGCAATTTATTAGGCAATACGAAAGATGAAGTGGACATACTTGAAAAGTCGGGAATATACGAAATAAGTTGCAATGATTGTGATAAAACATATATAGGCCAAACTAGGCGACCCATAAGAACAAGGTTCAAAGAACACATATAACACCTTTGAAATATGGTAGGTTAGATAAATCGTGTGTAGCCGAACATGTTCAATCACATGCATAACACACATATTACTAACATCAATTTAGTTAAACAAGTTGATAATATCAGAAAACTAGACGCATATAAAAGCTCAGAGATATTCAAGAATAGTAATAGAGTAATGAATTATAGGTCCGTTATCCTTATTCATTAAAGGATAATGGACCTATTCCATATATAGCCCTCTATATAGTTTAGTAATATAAAAATTAAGATTAACATGTGAACTAAACCATGACGAACATTAACTATATACCTAGTATATAAGCAGCACACTAGAATATGATATTTAGTTTTAATCTCCTCCTGAAGAAGCTAACATAGTTAGCGAAACACGTGTGGAGGCGAGTTTGCATCTTTCGGATAATGATACAAAATTTATTCTTTTTCCGTTCAACTCCATCAATATTCCATAATCTACTGAATCATATAAAGGATGAAATCTGTTCGCTACCTACAAATAAGCATCCGATTCCTATTTCTCCCAAGGAAAAGTTATGTGTCACATTAAGGTGAGTATATGCATAGTATTCATGTCAAAAATAGGAAAATCCAAAAAGTAATATTATATTTTTGTATACACTACACTATTTTCGCGAACTGTGCCGTTTTGAAATCGTTCAAATCCAACACTGGTTGATTCCGACGAACTGCTATCCGTTCACTTTCCCGAAATTTGGGTCCGATCTTTTATACAAACCGCCACTACGTACTACAAATATACCTACGCTTGCTTTCACCGGATACGCTAACGAACTTTCTGTGCTATATCACTAGAGGATTCGCAAAATTTCCGGTTGGGGGTAGTGTGCTCATCGGCGTCGGTGATTATCCTCAGTAGCAGAAGAAGGCCGACGTTAAATAAACAAGGAAGAAGGAAGGAAGGAAGGTAGACTTCAAACGCTAGTCATTTCGAAACGGCTTGGCCGATTTGCACAAATGAAGCGGTTTTGGATAATGAGAATCGAAAGGCCTTCAAAACAAGGCAGGTATCACGTGACACCTCTTTACATTTGAAAAAAAAATAGTTGATGGTGCTCACTGACACTAGGTCAGGTGACCACAACCTAAATGTTGGACAAGATGGAAGCTTTTTACCTGAATTTTACTTTTACTCGACTTTGCTATAGCTTGTACCGTTCAAAAGTTAAAGATAAGATGAGATAAAATAAGATTTATCAATCCGTGACCAACTACATGGTATTTATAGGACATGTCAGGAATTGTATATATGGGTTTTGTATATATGAATATAAATTGAGTATAAATATCAATAAATACATATACAGATAGGCAATGGGACGTCTCAAAATAACATCTTCATACCAACATTTTCAAAACATCCCAAAACATCCCAGGGATGTTTGTGCTCGCTGGGTCATAGAATATTCATCGAGAATATTTGAATATTCTCACAATATAATACAAATATTCTAGGGATGTTTTATGAACATTCGGAATGAACTGTTCAAAATATCCTGAGAATATGTCTAGTATATTGAAGGAGAATGAAGAAAATTGAAAGAGCTCTTGTTCCGGTGGAGATGCGAAGCTACTATCTTGTGATTGAATTTTCACGAACCTGAAACCTCAACCACTCCGCCACGAACCTTATATTAAATAAAATGAATAGCAAGATGACAACACTGAATTATAGTGGGATAATCAGCATTGAAGCTAGAGAATAATAGGTTATGTCAGGGTAGACATAATGAATATTAATAAAAGAATAGGAACATCAATATCATTCAGTTTGATACGATGCTGAATATTCTCAGAACATTCAAAAAGAATATTCTGAGAATATGTCAAATTGAATGTTCGCTGCAGGATGAGAATATTCTATGATCATTCTGAGAACATCCTATAGGAATATTCTAAAATAAGAATATTTGAACGTTGTCAGAATATTCATAGAATATTCTGTGCTGTCTGGGTATATAGATAGACACTAAGTAAATAGATCCAGTAAATAGTTTAATAAAAAGTATACTCACATATCTGTTCCAATAACTTGTTGCAATTCTTCCATCAAATCTAGAAATCTAATGAATTCTGGCATCCTCCTTCCGAGATTCAAAACGTGATTAATATATCTGTCAAAAAAAATAGGAAATCACTTAAGTACTTGTGAAATGGATATCAACATTATCCCATGTATTGAAATATCGAATATCATCTATCAATTACAATAAACAATTATTGTTGAGTACTAATACATATACCAGGTGTCCCAAAATTGTTGGGACACAGAGCTACCAGGTGTAATTCAGTTCAAAATAAGTGAGCCCAACTTACATACATTACATAAAAAATGTACCGTTTGTCCGTAAGACGAGTTCAAAGTTTACATAGAAAAACATATTTTTGTAGGCTGTTCAGAAATGAGTGAAACAAATTGGATGACATTATAGACAAAAATGCATTTTAGAGGATTACCTTCCTTTCGGTATTCAAAGAAACCCAGAAAAAATTGTTGAAGGATTGTAACCACCCTCACCCCCTGACATTATTTTCAGAACATTCTTGGGGGTGGTAATACGGTTTTTATTTTTCTTGAGCGAGATGACTGATTAATTATCTTTATTTTGTTACTTCATCAAAAATTTCGTGTTCCGCATAGTTCCGAAGGAAACAAATGTTTTAAATAATTGAAACAGATATACCTAGTGGAAGTTTGATAAAATTGTAATACAAATTTATTTGGCAGTGGAAACAAACGAAATGACATGATTGTATAATGTATATTGATGAAGGTGGGCGTCATATTGAGCAATAATTTGAAAAACACGTTCTGCCTCTGTTTCTACTCAGCTAAAATTTTTATAATGATGATAATGTTTCACTAGGAATATCTGTTAGCATTATCTGAGAAAACATTTCTGTTTTCTTCGGAACCATGCGGGATACGATATTTTCACAGGGTTGACAAAATGAAGATATTTAATCAGTCATCTCGGTCAGAAAATTTGAGAACCGTATCACCACCCCTAAGAATAAATACAAAAACTCAAAGTCATTTCCATACAATGTTCATTAAATGAACAACAATGGTAGATTTCGGGAGAAAACAACTACTTCCCTGGCTAATGCCACACAGGACATTGAATTACATCCTCCCGAAATCTATGCATCGACTATAGTATAAACGAATGATGATGCAAGTGATTCTTTCCTGAATACCTATCGATTTCGATTTAGCCAGGCAACGCCAGACAACCACAGACTGGTTTAGAGCTCTTTGACTCTCATCAGTGCAGTGTAGTCTCCAGCCAGCGGTCCTAGGACCGCCGTCTCAGCGAAGCCTAGCCAAACAAAAATCAAGTCGGCATTATATTCCCTCCGAGGCGTCTTCCATCGAAAATATGAAAGTAACGCAATCTGAGTAGAACATAGGAGAGAATCACTCCAAAACTATAATACCCATACGAGAGTGGCTGGTTGTTCGACTGGAATAATTTCAACTACGAAATAGTCACAATGCTCAAAGTTGAATGAAATGTTGATAAATACAAAAAGCTCAAAGTCATTTCCACACAATGTTCATAAAATGAACAACAATGGTAGATTTCGAGAGAAAAACAACTACTTTTAAGATTAATGTCAGGGGATGAGGGTGTTTTTAACCCTTCTACAATTTCTTCTGGGTTCCTTCCATTGCCGAAAGGATGGTAATCTTCTAAAATGCACTTCTGTCAAATATCATCCAATTTGTTTCACTCATTTTTAAACACTGTAGAAAAATGTGTTTTTAATGTAAACTTTGAACTTCTCACGGATGAACGGTACATTTTGTTAAATGAATAAATTGGGTCCAATTAACTTATTTTGACTTGTATTACACGTGGTAGCCCTGTTTCCCAGAAATTTTGGAACATCCTGTATAAGTATAGTTCTTTTTAGTGATAGCCAGTTATCAGTATTTCCCATTCTGCTCAGATCCCTCAAAATGAATTTAAAATATATATACAGGGTGTCTGTAAAAGGTCTTTACAAAAATATACCACATATTCCTTAGACCAAAATATGTCGATTTAGGTAAAATTGCCTTAGTACAAAGTTGCATCGTTTGGGCTCCAGAGGGCCTTGAAGTTACAATTTCAAAATCGTTTTTCCTATTTAAATTTAGGAATTGCACCTTTAACAATTCTACGCCAATGGAATAAAAGGAGTTTGAGTATGAAATCTAGATTGCGCAACTCATTTACTTTAAAAAAGGTACTCTTGATAAGACTCGATTACTCTCATGGTTTTGACGAAATTTGCATTTTAGTAATTTTAGAACATAAACAATAATTATTAAAATACAACCTTTGTCAAAACCATGAGAGTAAATCGAGTGTTATCAAGGGTACTTTTTTGTAGTAAATGAGTACCCAATCCAAATTTCATACTCAAACCCCTTTTCTGCCATTGGCGTAAAATTTTTAATGGTGCAATTATTTAAAAAATCAAGTATCTTTTTCAAAGTGAATGAGTGGCGCAATCTAAATTTCATACTCAAACTCCTTTTCGTCCATTGGCGTACAATTTTTGAAGGTGCAATTATTTAAAAAATCAAGTTCCACGCCTATGTATTATTATCGGACAAAATTGTAACACCATTCTTTTTGCCACATAAAACTCTATCAATATACCAAATTTCAGCAAAATCGCATATGCCGTTTCAAATTTATATGGGAAGAACGATTTAATTATTGTAACTTCAAGGCCCTCTGGAGCCCAAACGATGCAACTTTGTATGAGGTAATTTTACTTGAATCGACTTATTTTGGTCTAAGGAATATGTGGTATGTTTTTGTAAAGACCTTTTACAGACACCCTGTATATCGACAAAACTCACTCTCCTGGTTTCTTGCAAAATTCCACACAAGCTTCTGGGGTGGAGAAAGCATAATACTTATTTTGAAATTTTGCGATGCCCATATTCGTAACTCCTGGGATTAATCCACCATCTGTTTCAACCAGTTTCCAACAACAAAATCCCAAGTACTGAAAAACAATGTCCGTTCAGTTTTCATATATAACAATCAATTCATGTAGGTACCAGAATACCTATAATCTTTTCATCTCATCTTGAAGAAAATAATGGTCAGTTTGTTCCACAACTAACTAGAGAACATAGGTACCAATATTCATGATGCTCTCAGCCTATTCAATCAATTCTCACTACTTAGAGTAATAATGAATACAACTAGCTATATAACCTACCATTATTTACTCCTTTTGAAGGCGTAAAGCCAGTGTTTTTAAATCTTTTTGACTTCGCTACCCCTTTATAGCTTGAAATATTCTGGCGACCCTCTTGTGACGTAGAAAGCCAAAGAAAAAACCTTCAAGGAAGAGAAGAAAATATTTTTTCTACAAACGTCAAAAAATGACAAGGTTCGCGCATTGATAGCAAATTGCGAAGTGACACTTTTATTCAGTTTCCTATGTTACCATGATATCTTGCACCAAACAATGTGCGAAGTAAAACAGTGCGCGAAGTACCTACTTCGCGCATTGTTATGGAAAATATATGAGATATTCATATTTCAACTAAATGGTCCTTAATCGAGAAAACATCCAAAAAATCATTTATTTCAGAATGTTCAACAATAACTTCGTTTTATCTCTTGGAGCGTACGAAAGGAAATTTCTATTATGTTCGTGGAACATCGTGCCTACCTAGGGAGGATAGGGGAGGCCTTCTAAGCCAGTTCAACAGCATTTTTTATATCAAGCTAAGCATATTTTTACTTTGAAACTATATTTTTTGACGTTTGTAGAAAAAATGTTGTTTGCAACTCGAGCGCGAAATACTTTGGTCATCTCGACTATTTTTTTAACTCGGCTACGCCTCGTTAAAAAAATCAGATCTCGATCACCAAAGTAGCATTTCGCGCTCTAGATACAAAAATAACTATTAACAGCCAAAGATAAAGTAAAAACATTTCACGCAAAACTTCGTTTGTGGTCAACCTCTCTGCAAAACAAAATGTTCGAGTCTTTTCCATGTGTTCAGAAGATAATTGAAGATAATGCAACAGACCAATGTTTTGCAGTATCGGCTTATATTCCTTGCATGATACTGAGCTTGCATAATTTACAAGATAAACCTTTGATATACTTTCCAGACTTGCACTCTTATCGATAAATACTAACAAAACAGAATATATGATTTTTCACCAAAAAAATAAACAACAAATTTACCTCAACCTTAAAATAAAAAATGAACTCTTGAAACAAACTGACCAGATAAAATATCTTGGTATTTGGTTTGATGACAGGTTGAAGTGGGACAAACATATTGATGTTCTGACAAAATAAATATCTCCAATTATTGGTGCATTGAGAAGATGTCCCAAACTTGATATTAAAATTGCAAACATGATTCTCTACTCTCATATACTGAGTCGTATTAACTATTTAATAAATGTTTGGGGATCTTGTTCAAAAAATAATTTCAATAAAATATCAACATTATTTATAGAAAATCGTTAAAAGTATTGTATCGTCTTCTATTTGATACACCAACCAATCAATTGTATGAAATCACAAATAGGTATTCTTTAGATGAAATATATAGAATTGAAACTCTTAAAATATCATATAATATAATAAATAAAAAATTGAAGTCGAATATTATTTTGATACGGAATTCTGAAATTCATAATCATGAAACTAGACAATATAACTTGTTTCATCTTGACGCCGCTAGCTCCCTAATCGGACAAAAAAGATTCACTCATTCAGCTGAATCCAATAAACTACCTGATAATATAAAAAATTGCAGAAATATAGGTATATTCAAAAATGAAGTAAAAAAACTGATTATTTCTGAGCGGACTGGATAAAATTAATCATGCCATTTTTTTTTTACAAATATTATTCTTTGTTTGCCAATTTACAGTTGTTGATATATTTTGAATGATGCTATGTTTACCTATAGGTATATAATTATGTACTTCCTTATACCAGAGCCTTTTCTGTCTGGAAGTTATTTGTTCAATAAATAAATAAATCAAGCTGACAATGGGCGTAGATGGATTTTAAACCCTTTCTTGGACAAAGCAATAGATCTGGCTGATGTCACCACAAAAATGAAGAATGTCTTCTAGATTTCGCTGCTGATGGCATGCTTAAAATAGAATTTTATTCGGAAAGTGTCGACGTATTTTGGATAAAAAGAAAACAGGAATATCCAGAGCTGGCAAAAGAAGCTCTTAAATTATCAGTGCCATTCGCCACTTCATACTTGTGTGAATTGACATTTTCTTCAATGGGAGACATTGAAACTAAAAAGAGAAATAGACTGCAATTAGAGAATGATTTGATTATTAATGTTTCGAAAATAGCACCAAAATTTGATAAACTTCTGAAAAATAAACAAGCACATTCTTCTCACTAAAATTGCGTTTTTATTGTGTAAGAACCTCGACTTTTTCTTTTTGCCGGCGACCCCACAGATTGAAAAACACTGGCGTAAATTGTGTTTTTACTGCCAAGGTAGTTTTCATCATATTATGAACCACTGGTCACTAGTTAATAAAGACATAGCCACCCCTGTTGCGATATAGTCCAGTCATTATATCCAAATAACGGACCTTACCCGTGAATAATTTTTTAGTGGTTTTTTTTTCATAGGTGTCTGGGAGTGTAAATTCAAAATGGCGACCAAATCAAGCTCTTGCGTAACTGTTTTTTTTTTTGTTGAAAAACGGTTTTTCTTGAATAACTCGGCCATTTTTGATTCTACAGAAAAAGTTTGTACCTCACAATTTTTCTGATAGAATCGATATTTTGTAAATTAAACCTGAAAAAAGCGACGAATTCGAAATATTTTCATTATCTCGTTTATTTTCAACTTTACGGCATAAATGAACAGAAACAAACTTGTAGAGAATCAAATTTTGGACAAATTTTGTCTCCACCTGTTTTTCCGAAAATCGATATTTTCGGAATTAAACCTAAAAAAAACGACTCATTCGAAATATCATCATTATCTCGTTTATTCTCAACTTTACACCATAAATGAGAAGGAACCAACTTGTAGAGAATCAAATTTTGGACAAATTTGGTCTTCACCTGTTTTTTCGAAAATCGATATTTTCGGAATTTAACCAGAAATTATGTACCCATTCAGAAATATTCGCAATATCTCCTCTTGTTCAATTCTGCTGGTGCAACTAATAGGGCGAAAGTTGTATACAATAAAATGAAAATGATGATGAAAATATTTCGAATTTGTCGCTTTTTTCAGGTTTAATTTACAAAATATCGATCCTATCAGAAAAAATTGTGAGGACCAAACTTGTAGAGAACCAAATTTACTACAATTTTTGTCCCCAAACTTTTTCTGTAGAATCAAAAATGGCCGAGTTATTCAAGAAAAACCGTTTTTTAACACACGCAAAAGCTTGATTTGGTCGCCATTTTGAATTTACACTCCCAGTGACCCCCCGAGACACCTATGAAAAAAAACCACTAAAAAATTATTCACGGGTCAAAGTCTATAATGACTGGACTAATATTCACAGGAATGGCACTCGAATCTAGTAGGTATTTATCAATAACGACTTGTCATATGCTGTCATGGTGACTAGATTTCAATTAGAATTGGAAAGAAGAGTTTCACAAAACTATAATGAAGCGTTTGAAGGTAATTTTTACAAGTCATTTTTGAATAATCCGAATATCGTTGCCTATAGCGAAAAAATATAAGTATACAAAATTGAACAACATGAAATTTCCTATAAAGAAAGTTCCATTCAGTTTTCGTCTACGATGGATAGTTTCTGAGAAAAAATCGAGATGATCAAAAATAGAGTATAGAGTTTGAAGGTATGAAATTGGTGTTTAACAAGAAAAGTAACAGGAAATAGTAATTTTCCTATCAAGTGCGGAATGTGATACTTTGCGGGCAAGCAGTCGAGTGCGGGAAATACACTTACCGCATGAGTAAGGAACAATATTTTTTCTACAAGCGTAGAAAATTGATTGATTAGTTCAATCAATTATTCCTGCAAATAGGAACAACTAACAATAGTGATATCTTCTAATAATTAGTGATATATCTATTATGTGTACCGTTTGAAGCATTATAAAGGTAAGCTTATTGCGGAAGCCAGCATGCCCGTGGTGTTTGGCCTCTAGGTTTCAGACATTTCTAGGGAATGAGCCAAAAATACTTCTTCTTCATTTGGTGTTTTCACTTCTTTACTATTGCACCATTCATCAATAAATCCCGTGTAGTGCTTCTGATACATTTGACTTCAATAACTCATCTGTATCGCATCTGTAGCCACTAATTCTTATTGAAGAGTAGTTTTTGTTTTGTCTCACCTGCAATTTAACTTCTTCAGGATTTGCAAAGCTGTCTAAGCTCAATATCTCCACCTCCTCGTTTTGTGAAACCAGTTGGCAATGCACGGATTCTTCTGATCGATTATTCTCGCCCATAGAATCATTATTGATGCTATCCAAAACCAATTCTAGGACTTCCATATCGAACCGTACGAAGCTTGAGTATGTCTCCAGGTTGTTGACTATATCATTATATTTCGACAGTAATATAACTTGGTCTTGGAAATCACTCCATAAATCTGACAGAGTCTCAAATAATGGCTGAAAGGTATAAATACTTACATTCAATTCTATACAAAAATATGGGGATATGCTATGCACTATCACTATACAGGGTGTTTCAGACTTAAATGTACATACGATACTTGCAGATAGAGGAAACTTTTATGGTTTCAAATCACCCCCCATTGATGGGTCTATCGTCTTTTATAACTGATGAGATACAGGACGTCACCTTGATTTTGGCAAAAAATTTAAATGGTGATCATTTTCTAATCACTTTGTATAATCTATTCATGCTTGGTAGGAATATTCCATAGAACAAAATTAAGATCGAGATTAGAATCCAGGACCGTCTTAAAGAGAAACAGAAAACTTTTTCATTCCAAAAACAACACTCTGTATGGCAAAATTTTGTGGATCTGTTCCAATATTTGGGAAGAGCGGGAAAAAATGAATAGAGTGACCTACTTTTTACGAGCGCGCATCCAATTCGACAGATGGTTTATTATTATGTTTTGAAATAGGTATTCGGCTCCATTTCGAGGCATTCTAATTGAATTCGTGATTCAATATCCAATTTTAATTCAAAAGAATAACAAGTTTTTGAAGTTCAACATTAGAGTCGAATCAGGTGAACTATGTTCCTTTGACAAAATGAATTGTCAATGATTTAAGAAATTTTCGAGGACTCATTTGATTCACCACAATTTATTAATAAGCTGCGGTAAAGTAGGCTGTGCAAAAACATTCAAATTCTGACAGTTCATAATCACTAGTGTTATACAGGGTGTTTCAAAAAAACCTGACCTTATTGCTAGGGTAGGTAGAACACTGCAAAATAAGTTGAGTTTGCTCTGTGAAAAAATGTCGTAACGGCTTCCGTTTTCATGATACAAGGTGTTGAAAAAATGACTTTTTTACACATTTTTCACGATTATGTCGAAACATACTGGCAAAATTGTAATGAAGTTTTGTATGGATGTTTCTTGAAATCTGACACATTGCATGAATTTGTTTTTATATCTGACTCTCATAGAGGACGCTAGTTACACGGTTCGTACCGAGTAGTTTTAGACATAACTTCTTTGAGGTTAGATTTTCCAATCCGCACATGATATGAACTTGAACGTCATTCAATTTTACACCAAAAAGGTACTCTTGGTGAAACTCGATACTATGTTCCGTTTTCGGAATATTTCGATTTGAAAATAATGGAGTAGTTATGATGCTGGTATAAAATTAATTTTATTGAGTTCAATTACCTATTTATTCAGATTCAAAAACGATAAAATCATTCTTGTGCTGGAGTTATTGATGGAACAAAGAATCATAAGTAGAAAATCAAGAGATATTTGACTAGAAACATGAAATATTGAATCAGTTAGAGTAAGTATGTTCAAAATGTCCTACGTTTCGACGAATACACGATTCTATTTTCTTTGAGGATCAGCTGTTAGGTCATTCGAGTTCTGTTCAATTATGTCTCACAACTCTTGACGTGAATTTACCTATGTAGCATAGACTTTCTGCTCAAGATACAACATGTGATTCATTGTTGAATCAATAAGTTCAGCATCAGAAATGTATTGTTGTTTTCGGTTTTCAATAAATAGGTGATAATTTTTCATAATATTCACTCTAATACATAGCTTTATATACCAGCAACAGTTATCACTTCATCTTTTTCGAATCGAAATATTCCGAGGACGGAACACAGTATCGAGTTTTACCAAGAGTGCCTTTTTGGTGTGGAATTGAATGATGTTCAAGTTCACATCAAATTTGGATTGAAAAATCTGACCCCAAAATAGTTATGTTCAAAACTACTCGGTACGAACCGTGTAACTAGCGCCCTCTATTACAGTCAGATATAAAAACAAATGCATGCGATGTGTCGGATACCAAGATACATCCATACAGAATTTCATCACAATGTTGCCAGTAGTTTCGACATAATCTTGAAAAATGTGTAAAAAAATCTTTTTTTCAACACCTTGTATCTTGATAACGGATGCCGTGACGAATTTTTTTTATTGAGTAAACCCAACTTATTTTGCAGTGTTCTACCTACCCTAGTAAGGGGGTCAGGTTTTTTTTGAAACACCCTGTATTATTGGTAACGTTAAGGTTATTGTGTTATGGCATAACTATGAACACTATGAAATGTAACTACCCAATACAAGCACCAACAACTTTCCAATAATATCACAGTAGTGATTATGAACTGTCAGGATATCAGATTTTTTTGCACAGCCTACTTTACCGCCGCTCATGAATTGGTAGTAAATAATAAAATGAGCCCTGAAAAATGTCTAAAACCAGAGATTATACACTCTGCTAAAACTAAGGGACAGTTATTTTGCCAAACGATCAAATCTATCGATGTTTCACCTAACTTGACTCTTATTGTTGTTCTAAAATTGTTCTATCCGTCATTCGGTTTCCCCCTTACGAGCAACCCTCAGAAGACTTCGAGAGTCTTGTGCGAGCAAGGAATGACGCGGGCCTTACCTTTTAACGTGTGATCCCAAACACTTTCTTGTGCCATCAAAAAAATTTCTGCAGTCGATGGGAATCGAACCCTCGACCGGCAAGCGAATGTGGATTGGAATATAGACACTCTGTCCGCACGGCTACCTGGCCCCCTTGATGTTGAGCTCTGGATTTCATTAAAAATGCATCAAAGTGAAGCATAGTATTTCAAAAAATAGCAATAAAACATCTGTCAAATCGGATGCACGCTAGTTAAAACTGGGTCACTCTATTAATTTTTTCTCGCTCTTTCAATATATCGAAATAGATCTACACAATTTTGCCATACAGAGTGTTTTTTTTTTTAATTAATGAAGTTTCCTGTGTTTTCTCAAGACGGACCTGGATTCTGATCCCGCTTTTCATTTAGTTTTGGTGGGTAATATGAGTGGAATATCAATACCAAGTATGGATAGATTATACAAAGTGGTTTAAAAGTTATGACCAGATGAAGATTTTGCCAAAATCAAGATAACGTCCTGTATCTCAGTTATAAAATACGGTAGACACATCAATGGGGGGTGATTTGAAATCATCAAAGTATCCTCTATCTACAGGTATCGTATGTACATTTAAATCTGAAACACCCTGTATACCTATAAGAAAAATGAAGTTTGGAATGCTAAATTTTATAAATCATCCGAAAAAAACTTGTCTGCATCTCAGTACTACTTATACAGGGTGTTTCATTGGGAAACAGAAAAATTTCAAATGTGGGTAGAGCTCATCAAGGTATTTCTAAATATATATTTGTAGGGTCTTGCAAGTTTTATATCCGAGATATAGGGTGATCCATCAATTTTGTTCGATTCTTTGTCAGGACATAACTCATGAACCACTCAGTATATTTGTTTGGAAATTGGTATACAAGTCCTCCTTCTTCTAACCAGAGGACTCCCATATCAGTCACGAGAAAAATCCAGGTCCGGATTAACGAAAATTGATCACAATTCTGAGCCCCAGGAAGAACATCCTGTATTTTCGAATTTCCATAATCTGCTCACATATTTGAACAGTGTACAAAAAGCTGAATTGGGGTTAACTTTTTCACTCTCACCAGTTGGCGCTACTAGAACAATTTTTATGTCTACATCATCAATATTTTTTATACTCATTATATTATTCCAATTTATACCTTTTAACTCACATTACAAGTAAGTTCTTGTTTTTGTTGAATTGAATTGTAACTAAATGTCTCATATTATACAATAGATTGTTTCAGCCTTGAAAAAGAAAATAAAAATTTTCGAAAGCTTGGCAATCTTGGCATAGCAATGAAGTAGTGCTTGTAGCTCGATTGACTGAACTCCCCGATATTTCCTATATTATATCATAATATAATACAGTCGATAAATCATTCAATAAAATCATATATATACACCGTGTCCCAGCTAAAATGTCCCCCCTGTAAAAAATCAACCGCGCGATCGAATGACTCGAAATTTGGTCACCCAGTATATTTGATGATGCTCAATCGAAATATGCTATTGAATAAATTGTAGGTATACAAGGTCACACCGAAGTGCACCTAAACTTTCCAATTTGAATAGGGACACCCAGTATATTATTCCATATTCAAGTAGAGTTCATTATTACAAATTCAACAATGCCGGGATTGATGGAATTTTCTCAAAAAATTAAACGATCCGATAAAAAAATTTATGAAAAAAAAATAATTGAAACCTCAACTGCTCAATGTCGTCCATTCTGCTGCAAACATTTCCTAGCTCTTTTGATAACGTTCATTGTGACCCTGTTTCACGTTGCGATCAATTTGTGCGCATAAATTTGTGATTTTTTCTTTCATTTTTCCCATAATTACAATTGGCAGATAGATATATTTGAGGCAATTGGAAATTGCACAAAAATGGATTTTGGAAATTATTTATGGAAAAGATTATTTGTTTCCAACTGAACTTTCATATTAGGAATCTAAGAAAATGGATATAAATCAACTCTATATATATTTACAATTTACTGATTCAAATTTCCAAAAATAAAAAGGACATTCAGTTCAGAAAACATATCTATGACATAAGAAATAAAAATAACATAACATTGAAATATTAAACAAACAAGTCATTTGGACGTAGAAATTTAAAATTTTTTATTCCTTACCTATATAATAAAATTCCAAATGATATTATAAAAACAAAATCACTACAATCCTATGCAATAAAAATAAAAAACTGGAAATTAAACTCCCCTAAAAATTATTTTATTCCTTTAATTAACATTTAATAATATCATTAGATAAATTTTAATAATAATTGTGAATAAGTATGTATGAATATAAATACACACACTGGCACAATTAGGGGAACGGGTGAAATTTACACTAAGTTTGACATCAATTTTCTCTCGAACCGATCACTCGATTCAAATTTGTTTTTCACGAATTGTAGCTTCATTCTTCACGAATACATATGAGAAATAACCACCTCCAAACGATTCGTCTTTATATCATATACAGGGGTGTGAAGAAAGTACGGATTTTTCGGTATTCTTTATGACATCCTGTGGAGTGAACCACTGATAATTGAAACGATTTTCCTACACCAAATTATAGCCCAATCTATCCCGAATATTTTCGTTTCATATTCATCTTGATATCCCAATTATCCAAGAAAATATAGAGTTTCAAAGAAGAGGTGGATATTGGTATTAATTTTACCACCTCGAAACTCGAACGTGGATAACGTGTCGTTTTTCAACTTGTTTCTGTGAGGATTTTTACTTTAAGATGAGAATTGTTCACAGTTTTACCTATCGGTTTACTGTTTAAAGACACATATACGAATACTCTCATGAATATGCAGGGGTGATAAAATTTGCTCCAATGTTCTTTTGGTGAAATGCTATTTTTGTTAATCAACGTTGGCTATTTTGTCAGAGTCAAGCGATTCACAATTCATAAATTTGATTGATGAAAATTCAACGTGAGAGATTTGACTCCTACTGATGTAGCGAGGGCTGTAGCATTAATTGAAAATGACCAGTGGTCTAATGTTCTTTCAACATATGAGAGCCGCATCTGCACCAATTCAATAGATGACAGGGAAAGACTATATCGCCGAGGTGAACAAAATAAACAATTTGATTTTACTGCTTCTGTCTTCTATGGCAGAGGTTTAGTCATGGTTAGGTTAGGTTAGTCAAGAAATGACACATTTTCAGATCCAATTTGTGTTTTGAGGTGTAAAATTGATACCAATATCCACCTTTCCTTTGAAACTCTGTATTTTCTTGAATAATTGAGATATCAAGATGAATAGAAAACGAAGATATTCGGAATAGATTGGGCTCCAATTTGGTGTTGAGAAATCGTTTCAATTATCAGTGATTCAGTCCACAGGATGTCTAAAAAAATACCAAAAAATCCGTACTTTCTTTACACCCCTGTATATGATGGAAAGACTCATCGTTTGAAGGTAATTATTTCTCAGATGTATTCTTGAAGAATGAAGCTACATTTTGTGCAGAAAAAAAAATGAATCGAGCGATCGGTTCGAAAGAAAATTGATGTCAAACTTAGTGTAAATTTTGCCCGTTCCCCTAATTGTGCCAGTGTGTGTAGTTATGCGTATTGAATGAAATGCTCAGTACACTACATATTATGGATTGAATACTTGTCTCATTTCTTAATGAGACAATTTTCCATTGTGATAATTTGATATTGTTAAATATTTATTGACCTATGTACATTTATTTATTTTTTATCCTTACTTCAAGGTTAACTTCGTAAGGTTTTTCCCAGTTTATTCAAATTACCTATATGTTTATTCCAATGTATATTTTGTGCACGTTTTTGAATAAACTTATATTATTATTATTATAAACCTGTTGTTTCAATGTAGCCCCACAAATAAAAATTAAGTGGGGTGAGGTCTTGCGACCGTGCTGGCCAGTTAATTGCTATCACCATTGGTGGTTATTAGATTTGCTCCAAACCTTCACGGGTCTGTAGTTATGTGCAGGACACCCATCATTCGATTTCAATCGTGTAATATATTAATTAAATCTAATCCTATAAATTTTTTATTGAATCGATTTATTTTTTGCCATATCTTCGTAGTCGTTTGAATAAATTCCATCAAACCCGGCATTGTTGAATTTGTATAATAATGAACTCTACTGGAATATGGAATAATATACTGGGTGTCCCTATTAAAATAAGAAAGTTGAGGTGCACTTCGGTGTGACCCTGTATACCTAGGATTTATTCAATTGCATATATTTCGAGTGAGCATCATCAAATATACTGTGTGACCAAATTTCAAGTCATTCGATCGCGCGGTTGATTTTTTACTGGGAGGACATTTTAGCTGGGACACGGTGTATATCATAGGGGCAAAGGTTCATTTCCTCCCATGTGTGTTTAATGCTCTCCATTACGCGTCGGGCATCAAACTTCACACGCGGGAGGAAATGGATACCTTTGCTCCCTTGATAAATAAATAGCTATTAACGGCCAGGGGCTGTTATAATATTATCGGGATATTCTTGAGCTGTTCCATGACAACACGATGTTGGGATTTTTCTGTAGAATTACGAGGTACGTGGTTCGTTCTTTCCTCGGAATCAAACTGTAATCTTTCAGCGGGTTTTCGAAACGTGAAGAACGACACACGGCCGATACGCAAATAATGGCCTTGTAACGTTAATAAGGATTCATTTGTATTGTATTTTGATTAGTTATCCTTAAATATATGAGTGTTGAAATAAAAACTTACGAAAATTACATCAACAGGCACAGCAAGTCTCATGTGAACAGTCTTATGAGTTTCCCTTAGTTGTGCATCGAGTGATTGGTAGAGATTGGCCACATATTCTTCCATTTTCTCTGTGAGTTCTATTATATTCCTGGAGAAAATGACAAGATTTATAAATGCGAGACTTACGAGGGGCTCTATTTCTCATGGTATATTGAAGTTCCTGGGAAAAAATAAGTCATAATACGTTTTCTAGGATGTTCTTGGGCCAATGTGGCCTTGCAGAACAAAATGATAGACGTTTCAGTCATAGTCCAATCGATCCTACCTAATAATTATTTATGCATGAGCGGGCGTAAAGTACCACTTTACCGCCCAGTTTTGGGGGCACAAAGTCACACTTTACCGTCCGCGGACTACTTTACCGCCAGCCCTACTCCTGTCATTCAAAACAGGAGACGTCCAAATCTTTTGGCTACTATTTGGAAATGCGTTAATTTCTTGGAGAAGTACCTACCAATCTTACCTCACAAACAGTTCGTTTTGTCGGTGCATGAGCAGTAATCCTTTCATAGTATCTATAAAAGTAGGATCAACATCTATCGGAATTTCGCACACCATCTTGTTATGTCCCAAACATTCTTTCATGACGTAGCATTTATCAACCACCAAGGTGAACAAATTGACCCTCTCCATGATGCGCACTAGAGCCGATTGGATCTCAGCTTTGACAACTCTTATTGCCTTGTTCAATAAATGCGGCACTGAAATGACAAATAGAACAGAAAAGCTTTATCAATCTACGACGGCTCTGAAATTCCATCCTGAAACAAGTTTTTTTTCACGTGACGTATCTTTGCCATTTCAGTTGCAACTGTTGCATCTAAGGTAGGTGAATACAATATGCGCACCTTAAGCGATTATTTTTGTTAAAAATGTAATTGTGAATAACAAGTTACGGAAACCACTTCGCGATGAAGTTTAACATGTTCAGAACCTAAAAAAAATTGGTGCCATGAAAAATTGGATTGTAACATTTTTTTATCCAATTTGAAAAAAAGTGTAAATGGCCATATTGCCAACACGGTGTCGACAATATGGCCATGCATACAAAAGTCGAGAATTTATTATTATAAAAAGATGTAATACTTGTGGAATAATTATTTAAGTTCCACTAAAAACAAAACCTAGAAAATAAGTAGAATAAAAATGATTATTTCCGAGTATTATTAGCAAATTGAACAAATGGAGGTGCTGACGTAGATTTAGGTACTGTAGCCCATGTGCATATTGCCAACTCCGCATGGTGGTCATATTGCTACAAATGAAGTTTAATTAGGTTAGGTCTAGGTTACCACCACAATCTGAGCTTCAATAACCATGTATGGAACACAAAATATTGCAGTTCATCAACACTATCTTTTACAACTCAATAATAAGAAACTTAACATGGAAATATTATACCGGTGTCTTCAAGAATTTATTTTTAGCGACACCAGTCTCATAACGCTTGCAACTTGCTGTCTAATCGACTAAAATCTGACAGTTGGTTAACAGAAAACTGTTGTGTCTATGATGTGTGCTGCCATCGTTCATAAAACAACCAAACTACGGCCCGTGCGCATATTGCAAACATGCGCATATTGTATTCACCTCCCTTATATGAATTAGGCAAAGATTCTGGAAAAAAAGTTGTTTTAGTTTGACAGTTTAGAGTCGTGACAGGACTTGAGATATGATGTGCATGTAGGCAGGATAAAGTAGGCCACTCTCACCAATGAGGGCATATTTTCAGTCTCACCGCAGTTGGAGTTACTAAAACGTGAGGTCAATGTCAACGCCAAACTCCCAAAATTTTTCCGGATATCCTAAAGGCTGTTTTAACGAATAAAGATACAGGTTCCAAACTATTGTTTTTTTCGCAAATTCTGAATAGAGGTAATGTTCTCAGAGGTTCTCTTCTGCCGCGTTCGGATTTTCATAATTTTTGAACCGTTTTGAAAGTCCTAGGATTCGAAACGATTGCGCACTAGTTCTACGCAGTTCGAGAACGATTCTTGAACAGTTCTGAAATCGCAACCTGAATAAACCCACTGTCCGCTTATGGAACCGCATTTCGCGTACAGGGTGATTCACCATAAATGTCCCCCCCTCTAGCTCACTTATTTTCGAACCATTTTAAAAATTTGAAAGATGATCTGAAATGATTTTTCAGAATTTTTCTTCCCGTTGCATCAGAAAATACAGGGTGCTCGGAACAAACGATCTACAGAGTACTAATTGATTTTTTTAAATGGAACGCCCTGTATCTTATTATATTTTTAGATTCTTCCTGAAGAGCTGATTTCATCAATGTATTACACTTGGGGTCTAGCGGGAATGATTACAGAGATATCGGGTGTTCAAAAACGAGACTTTTCAACTTTAGGATTTTTTTGTGCCGAAACTATGCATTATTGGTCAAAACGGCTCCTATGTTCCCATCTCAACTTTTGATTTACTATCTAGTGTAAATGTCACTAGACATTTACAGGGTGGTTCAAGATTCAGAATTCTGGTCATCCTGTATCTGTTCCAATTATTAAATGTCAGTAGATAGGGAATCAAAAGTTAAGAAACGAACATGAAAACCGTTTTGACCGATAATGAATAGTTTCGTCACAAAAAAAATCCTAAAGTTGAAAAATCTCGATTTTGAACACCCTATATCTCTGTAATCAGTCCCGCTAGACCCCAAGTGTGATGCATTGATCAAATCAGCTCTCCGGGAAGAATCTAAAAATACAATGAAAAATAGGGTGTTCCATTTGAAAAAATCGAATAGTACCCTGTAGATCGTTTGTTCCGAGCACCCTGTATTTTCTGATCTAGTGGAAAAAAACCTTATCGAAAATCATTCAAGACGATATTTCAAATTTGGAAATCGGTTCAAAAATAACTGAGCTAGAGGAGGGGACATTTACGGTGAATCACCCTGTACAATCAGTTCATGCGCACTCCGCACCATATGACATTATTTCAAATAGCACCATCACAGGGTCAATAGAGGTCGTGCTGTCATACCCAGGCAATCAGATGATGTTTCAGTGACGTCTTTTTACGTCAGTTGAATTACCAAGATGACGTCAGGAGTTGTCGTCGTATGACGTGATAAATGAGTGAATAAGTCACAGTCCAATGACGTCATATTGCTCACGTTTATTGACGTCATTCACTCACCAAACAATGACGTGGGACTGACGTTGAAATTACCTCAAATAGACGATAAAATTTGGTGATGATATACGTAAAAAAGTTTCCTCAAACGTGCCGGTGTCGTTTCCATTCAATCGTCTATTCAGCAGCGCTATCCTTCAGTACGCATCTCCATCAGAAAGAAATCAGTTACTCGTATTTGTATAAAATATGTAGTTTGTGTCGGCGAGATGTAAGCAAACCAAGAATAGTTTGATAGCAATGAGAAGGATGTTGGCGAATTTAGCTTCACTTTGTTGAGCAACATATATCCATGCATTCTTTGTCACCCGACAAAAACCTAAATAGCAAATTATTGGAAAATGTTCTGAATGACGAAACTCACCAAATTGGTACGTCACACCGACGTGATTTTTAGACGTCATATATACGTCACTGCAACCTCATAAAAGTGACGGTTTCAAAAGGTAGACCCATTTATATTGTTACATATTGTTACGTTATTCGGGTGCAGAAGCGAACACGACACTATTTATTTTCGAACTGATTTATTTGAACTAAAGAAACACTAATTTATATCGAACTTATAACTACTATTTATGTAAAACGATTTATAACACGCGGTATATAACTGTCTCTCTGACACTCGCTGTTTGACTGACTGACTCAGTTGTTCGGCCGTCTTATATATGAGAATACAGGCAGGCTTTGGCTCGAGAACGTTCTCGAATGATCTTCCGTCTCCTTCTTTTTGTTCTAGAAGCTTCTTAGAACAAAACCTCCCTCTCTAATTGTTCCATCGATTGTTTCCAGAACATTCCAGAATCTTCTGTGACGTTCTTTGTCACTGCGGCATATATTGAGTGTTCGGAAATATACTGGTGTAGGTATGTAGGAATCATTGAGAGGTTGGAGAGCAATCTGGGATGCGTGATACAGGATGATCGTTGTACTCCTGCCTTCCTGCTGATGTTTCTAAAGCCCCTCCAAGGGGAATATCATTACAATATGTATACAGATACAGGTTGTTCAAAAATTCGACCGACAATGCTTGACAGGTGATAGCCTTTGTGATTTCATAATCACTGAGATGGGGACATATGGTGTTCAAGTGTTCAGTTCTCGAGATACAGGGCGTTGAAGTTAAGAAATTGAAATAGATTTTTCGCAATATCTCGAAAAAAAATGTAATATAATGCATTCAAATTTGGTATATGGTTTCATCTTTCAATGGTTAATTTTTTGAAGAGAAATACATTCCGAGAATTTTATCCAGAGGTGCGCTACAGAGGGTTGTGATAACTTTTCCTCCCATATTTTCTACGCCACTGATGAAATTTCGATTATTTCCAATTTCCCAAATTGATTGTTCAACTATGTTGGAAAAATGCATCACCTTCAACTAAAATGAACAGGTATCGAGATATTTGAGCCAAAACAGAAGTTTGCATAGTCATTTTTTCCCCAGTAGTAGAATATTACAAACATTTTTGTTTTCTCTTCATGCTTGGAATAAATAAATATTCCTGTTCAGCTACAGCATGAAATCCGAATAATATTTGATCTACTCAACACCAGAATATATTGTGCAACAAGTGGGAAAAGTTCAACTTTTCTCACGAGTGTGAAAGCTTGTGGCACCAGCCTGAAGGGCGAATGATGCAAACACACGAGTGAGAAAAGTTCTTTTCCCCACATGTTGCACACTATACTTTTTCTACAACTGCACTCATTCAAAGAATCCGTAATGTAGCTTATTGGTATTCATTTTATAATGTGGCACTATGCCACATTGAATATTGTGACCAAAGAGTAGACGCCTTTCCTAGTTCCTCAAAGTATTTCAAAAAAGAGCACTTTCCGAAAAAGATTTTATTTCTGTATTTTTTCAGATTCTTCCATTATCTGTGTCTCTGGCGGTGTATTTATCAAAATCGTCACATCTCGGTATATACATCATATTATTCATTATGAATTGTTGGAATAATATCTGATAGAAACTGCGATTTCTATCAAAAGCACTAATGAGAACTACCCTAAAGAATCTGAAAAATTTCTTCTGACAGTTGTGACAACTATTCAAAGCTGAACAGCAGCCAACTTTTGGTTGATTTTTGTTGATTCTCCATGGAAATGTATGTGGTGTTGGCAAAGTGCCGTGAGAAAAAATATTTCTCACAGTATGAGCAATACATGGTTTTGAAACTAATTAAGCTATGAGAAATGCGCTACTTTTCATAGCAGTAGTAGAAAATAATATTTCTGCAAGTTTCTACTACTGAAAATGATTAAATATTACTATGCAATCTTCTGGTTTGGGTCGAATATCTCGAAAACTGTTTATTTCAGCTCAGTTGGAGGTGATGTATTGTTCGAACAAAATTGAACAGTGAATTCGAGGAATTGAAAATAATCGAAATTTAATCAGAGGCGTAGAAAATATGGGAGAAGTTGCCACAACCCCCTGTAGGGCACCGATGGATAAAATGTCCGGGATGGCTTCCTGGTCAAAAAATGACCCATTCAAAGATGAAACCATATATTGAAGTTGAATGCATTATTTTAAATGAGATATTGCGAAACAACTATTTTTATTTCTCAACTTTAACGCCCTGTATCTTATGAACTGAACACTTGGAGACCGAATATCCCTATCTCAGTGATTACGAAATCACGAGGGCTATCACCACTGTCAAGCGTTGTCGGTCGAATTTCGCAACACCCTGTATAGCTTGATTGGTTTCCAAAATATACAGGGTGTCAGAGTTTTAAAAATTGTCTCCAACTTCTTGGGTATATATATATAATTCCAATAAAACTTGCATGTTGATTTGGTTCAATGAGTTATACTTCTATTAACGTCAGTATAGCATGTATATATAAAATCACCAAGACGTACAATCGTACATGTTTCTATATATTATGTGTGTAAAATTAATAAAAAAACGAGTTTTTCTGAAAACTTTTCGACACTGAAAAAGCCATCCTGTATATTTAGGTACGACATAAACATAACGGTTTCACAAGATAATGTAAGTATACATGGATTAGAGATGGTTTGGGAAAAATGGACGTCGACAGGATGTCCCTGCATTGTCATGAAACTGACGTCTTATTTTACCCATTTAAGTGATGTTCACTCGACGTCGAGATGATTATCACGTCATAGAAAGTACGCCATAGTGACGTCATAAATTTGTGTGTGACATCTCTGACGGAAAATCACCAATTAGGGACGTCACAGTGACGTGATCATTCGTCATTTGGTTGCCTGGGTAGTTGCACCAATTCCATAATTTTTCGTGTATTTCTAAAATGCTTAGTTGGAAAAATGTGAAAATCAATGGTGATGATTGCGTAAAAAGACTGCCTTTTGCATTGTATAGAGTAGAGGAATGTCAATGGTTGATAAAATAATAAAATCGAGCGAATATCTTGAATCGAAAAATTCAGTGATGCATATTGAGATCTGAATACTCTATGTATATTGACATAGAATAATTTTTTATCATTCCTGATATTAGTTTCGATCCTATGATGTGATGATAACAAATATTTTTTCTATAATATTGAAATCATACTGCGTCTGAAATTGAGTGGACCACTTATTAATTCGTCAAGCAATATATTTTGTGAGGCGATTCATCTATACCTCTACCTATATTGGAAAATATATTAGGTTATTTGTTTTTACATAAACAATACCCTTTGTATATGATAATATGTGTATATTATATCAATATGGATCCGAAAATGCTATTATGAGACATCTTTCGAAATAAGTATCATTGACTCACAATTTTCTATCCCAGCTCCACCTTTATCAGAATCCTTATTGAACAATCTTATTCCACACAATACTTTCCTCAAGTGCTCTAGTTGCTTTTCTTTGATATAGTTTGGAGCTCTGGTGAATTCGACAGCTTCCACCTCGCTCATTATACTCCTCAAAGCAGCTAGAGCTTCAGCTAATACCTACAAAAAAATAGTTGTCTTGAAATATGCAAAGAATTCAGACAGACCCGTGATCACTACTAAAATAGAACCAATTATTTATCATGAATATGTTTTCAATGGGGCTGAAGGGGGGCCATCTATTGGCAAAAGTGCCACACAACAAAAGAATTTGTCCAACCAACAAAATCTGCTTTACTTCAAGCATCTGGGTTGTTTATACAGGGTGTTTCGAATTTAAATGTACATACGATACCTGCAGCCTGCAGATAGAGGACACTTTGATAGTTCCAAATCATCCTCATTGATGTGTCTACCATCATTTATAACTGAGATACAGGACAATATCTTGATTTTGGCAAGATTTTCATCTGGTCATAATTTTGGAACCACTTTATATAATTCTCTCATACTTGGTAGAAATATAACACTCATATAACTCATCAAAACTGAATTAAATTCGAGTACAGAATCCATGTCCGTCTTGAGGAAAAACAGAAAAAATGTTCAATTTCAAAAACAATACTCTGTATGGCAAAATTTTGTAGATCTGTTTTGGTATTTGGAAAGAGCGGGAAAAATGAATAGAGTGGCCCACTTTTTACGAGCTCGCATCCGATTTGACAGATGTTTCATTATTAATTTCGGAAATATTCATCTCCATTTTGAGGCATTTCAATTGAACTCGAAATCCAATTTTGGTACAAAAAATGACAATCTTCAAACTTCAATATCATTAGGATCAAATCAGGTGAACTATCGAATGATTTGTTTATTTGACAGAATAACTTATCAATGATTTAAGAAATTTTCGAGAACTCATTTTATTTTACAATACTTATTCATAAGCTGCGGTAAAGAAAGCTATGCAAAAAATTTTAAAATTCTGTCAGTTTCAAATACGTGTGATATTATTGGTAATGTCACAGCCTCTTGAAATGAAAATACCTGTTTTATATTCCAATAAGAATTTATCATGTTCACTATTCAATTTAATAAGATTTCACAACTTTGAAGAACTTTTTTCCATGCTCATGAAAGTAATATTATTTTTTACCATATTCCTGTTAATAGTTTTGACTATTGTAAGACGTTATAAACATTGGCTGATGATGAGCTTATTATTATGATGATTTCGAGATTCACTCTTCGTTCATTAATTATTATATTGAGATGGTTTTCATCTTATATATCCAATAGATCACAGATCATAAGTATCAATGGATTTGACTCTAACCCAATTACAGTTACCTTGGGAGTACCCCAAGGGTCTAATCTGGGACCTTTATCATTCATTATTTTCCTGAATGACATTGATCAATGCTTTCATGACTCTCAATTTTACATTGTATGCTGATGACCTGAAAGTTTTCACTAGAATAATTATGTCATTGGACGACTGTATGAAACTTCCGAATGATCTAGATAGATTTAGCGTTCAGTGTAAGGATGATAGATTTTTTTCGAATTCTAGGAAATGTTTCAGAATGAGCTTCGCTGAAAATCAGAACCCAATAATGTTCAATTACAATTTGAACGATTCACAATTGGATAAAGTATCATATCAAGGACTAGAGAGTTAAATATACTGTCTGTAGGTTAACCGAGGAGGTGGCACATTCATTTTACCTAATTATTTGGGATTTTCTCTCCTCGGTTCTATGAAATATAAATATGAGTATTATTTCAGTGTAGTAGGACAAATCAGATGATTCGCCCCAAAATGTCATTGCGTTTAACAAATTTTTCTATCAGGGAGCCTAAAAGAACAATCCAAAAGCTTGTCAGTGACACTTCGTGGAAAAATGTTTGAGGAAAGGAAATATAGATATATGTATTGAAAGAATATCGAATTTTTACTTTGGACGTTTCGGGATTGAATCTGCTTCCGTTCTCAACATGCATTTTTATGTTGAGAACGTTATACGATCCTGGAAATATTAAGGGCGTCCGTTCAGAGATATTTGAAGATATTTGAAGATATTCACCGTCTGGGACATTTCATGGTTGTTTAGAATGGACATTATATGAGATCTGAGGTCATGCCAGGCATCTGATGAATGTCCCTAAAGGAACTTTTGAACTGATATATCATCAGGAACATGCCAAGGATGCCCTTGCGTGGACATTCTACTATATATACCACTTGGACGTCTAAGGAATGCTATTTCTAGAACATTTCGAATGATGTACCAGCTGAGACATTTCATAGACGTCCTTGCTCGGACATTGCATGAGATGGACGAGATGGAACGTCCCAAGGACACTCATTTTAGATCTGGGACATTCGGACTTCAAATGTAGCAAATAGGGATATCCTTAGGACGTTGTGCGCTTTTAGGGATACAATATGCAACCTCATTCGTTATTTGCTCCATATCGGCCTAATTACGGTAATAACTACAGAGCCTTTGGGGATTGAGAATCCACTCACCAGATTGAATAAGTCACTTTTTTCTAGGTACCTATGTTGACTCACCACACTCAACCCGGGATTTCCCAATCCACTAACAAAAGTTACGTAAACTGCAATATTCCTTCTCAAGTTGTCGTATCCCTGATTAGTATAATCTCCTGAAAGTATTTCGGCTTTCAACGGGGCCAATCTCTCCAAAATCGATTCTCTGTTGCATTTTGTTACATTATCAATGTATTGTAGATTACATGTGAAATAAAACTGCGTTTTCAATGTCAGTATTTTTGTGTCGTGTGCTTCAAGTTTTGTGATCACATATTTCACCAAATTCTGGACGTTCGAACGGGAGTTCATGAAGTTTTCCGTTATACCCCAATTTGGATCCAATAACAGCAACTGAACCTAAAGAAAAACAAAAAGAACATTTATAGAGTACAAAGGGTATAAATAAATGAGCTGCGAAAAAATTAAGGAATCCCTTTTAGGAAGATAGGAAGAACTGTTCTCAAAACATGTGCTCTAACTTGCTTCGTTTTTGATTGAGATACAGGATGTTGAAGAGTCATAATTATTGTCTTTTATGATTTCCATTGACAGCTATCATGGTGGAAAAATTCAGTTCAGTTGACGACGTCTCATAATTTCAAAATGATATACAGGGCATGTCACGACGAGCTTACACTATCTTTATATCGAGAATCAGTCGGGAGAAATCCATGAAAATGTGCAAGCTGTTTGAGAAACATATACAGTGAGGATGTAAAAAGTCCTCCCCCTCTTTCAACTTTTGAATGGAATGCCCTAGCGAGGTCGGGTAAAATTCAGATGAGAAAGTTCCTCTTTTACTATTTCTTGACATAATAATGGTTGTTGACACGTGACCATCAATTTTTTTTTCGAATGTGAAGAGGGGTCATATGGTACCTGATTTTGAAGGCATTTCGATTCTCTATCCAACAACGCTTCGTTTTTGAAAATCGACCAAGCCGTTTCAAGCTGACAAGCGTTTGAAGTACCTCGGAAACATAAAATAACGTTCGGAATGAATTCCAATACCGATTTTTTTTCTGTCTATAAGTAAACGATAAACATTTCGAGTATCTTCGAGCACTTGTGACAATAATTGTTACTCAAAGGTTTATACAGGGTGTTTCACAGATAAAGGGAAATATATCAATAGTATACATAGGGGTCACCAAGGTGGTTCTGAAAATACCATATTTGATAGGTCTTAGAGTCTTCATAACGGAGATACAGGGCGATTTATCGATTTAGAATAATTATTCATTCGTCTATAAGTATTGAACAACCCAGTATATTTTTCTGAAATTTGGTATGGAGCTCATACTTGGGATGTTGAATTCATTCACCTATCGGGCGAAGTGAAAATCCAGGTTCGGCTTCAGGAAACATCTACATTTATTCGAAATATCAAAATAACACACTGTATGTAATAATTGACAGAGTTCATCAAAAGAATCGTGAAGAGGAGAAAAAACTGAACTGGATTTGATGCTGTTTGTTTTCCCGCCACCAATTCTCATCGTAACAATCATAAACAGAACGCTAAAAGTATGTCAATTTGAAGAGTATCAAAATTATGAAACCACTTTCAATTATGATTATTTGATATATTCTTGTTGAATGATCGTTCGAAAAAACTTACTGAGTCTCGCAGTCTTTATAACAGAGATACAGGGTGAATTATCGGTTTCGAAAAATTATTCACTCGTCCATAAGTATTAAACTACCCATCGCAATAATATTTTCTCGAATTTGGTATTGAGCTTACTTGGGACGATGGATTCATTGACCTATCAGGCAGAATGGAAATACAGGTTCAGCTTCAGGAGAAGTCTCATAGTCTTTATAACAGAGATACAGGGTGAATTATCGAATTATAATTATTTGGTATTATTTCCATTCCGCCTGATAGGTTAATGAATCCATCGTCCCAAGTAAGCTACATACCAAATTTGAGAAAATGTTACTAGGTAGTTTAATACTTATGGACGAGTGAATAATTATTCAAAACCGATAATTCACCCTGTATCTCCGTTATAAAGACTGTGAGACTAAGTTCTTTCGAGCGATTTTTTGACTAAAATATATCGAATAGTCATAATTGACACTGGTTTCATAATTTCAATACTCTTCAAATTGACATATTTTCAACTTTCTGTTTATGATTGTCACGATGAGAATTGGTGGTGGGAAAACAAAAAGCATCAAACCCAATTCAGTTTTTCCTCCTCCTCACATTAATTAATCATTAAATACAGTGTGTTATTTCAATACTTCGAATAAATGAAATTTTTTCCTGAAGCCGAACCTGGATTTTCACTCCGCCCGATAGGTGAATGAATTCAACGTCCCAAATATAAGCTCCTTACCAAATTTGAGAAAAATATACTGGGTAGGTCAATACATATAGACGAATGAATAATTATTCGAAATCGATAAATCGCTCTGTATTGACCTATTAAATATGGTATTTTCAGAACCACCTTTACCTGTGAAACACCCTGTATATGGCATTCGAAAGTTCTTTGGGATTTTTATTCCTTGAACCAAACTTCCAACTCTTGCCAGTTTGAAACGGCGATTAGCACAAAGGAAGCAGTGTTCTTCAGAAAATCAAAATGCCTCAAAAAATTATGTACCACGTGACCCCCTTTCAAATTTGAAAATAAAAGTTGATGGTGCCCTCTTGACACTAGGCCCCGTGACCACAACCATTTTTATGCCAAAAAGTTGTTAAAGAGGTATCTTCTCATCTGAATTTCATCCGAGCTCCCTAGCTTATTTCGTTCGAAAGTTAAGGTGGGTGGAGGACTTTTTACGTCCTCACTGTATAATACCTGTTGTACATTTATGACTCAATAAAATCATTTATTATTATTATTATTATTATAGACTGTTCTACTGCTATAATATTTCTGTTATGCAACTATAATGTACAGTCGTCTTCAACGAACATGTCGGTGTTGGACGGTATGAGCGCTCTTATTGCAGCGGTGATCAAGGAAGCTGACACCGTCCATGTGCGACATGATCTCTGAAGACGACTGCACCCATGTAAATGATCAACCGCTTGAGCGAACGATTTAAAATTTGGTCACTCAGTATTTGGTTATGCTGATTTGAAATATAATATTTGTCTTGATATATCATGACGAAAGGAATATAGAGGGCAATGTTTTTAACAACTAGGAAGAAAATATTGGACATAGTCCTCATAAAGAGTCGTCAATCTATGTAAAGAGTTAACCGCAGACACGTGTTTCGGGTTTCCGGCCCTCATCAGTACGATGAAAAAGTGCCACTTGGTGGAAAACGAAACAACAAATCAACGGAGTCAACAAACTGAAGCCATGCAGCCGCACATTTTGCAGAGTCTGCTGGCCGAAACCGCAATTATTCAGATTTTAGCTATGGCGGTCAATTCAAATGTATCTATCTTTTCTCTAAAAAAAAACAAACAAACATATTTTTCGAGCAAAATAATTTAACTCTCATGATGCTATCTTATATTTTGGTCTTTCTTTTTCGATGTGCAAGGCAAGTCGATCATATTATTTTTGCTGAAGCAATACGGTTAATGAACTAACCACGTTTTTGAAATATAGTTCCGGATCATATATCATATATTATACAGGGTGTTAACAAATAAGTGTCACAACCGAAAACTGTAGATTGCTCATGAGAAGAGAAACATTTTTTTCCTTTTCGAAATTTTTCTCCGGGCTTCCGTTATCAAGATACAGGGCGTCAAAAAAATACAAAAAAAAATCTGTTTTTGCTATCTCAGGAACCGTCGGAGCTACGGAGTTAAGCCTTCGTACCGAGCTTCGTACACACTTCATCATCAATAATAACTACTTTTAAGGCTCTTGATCAATTTCTTTGGACATGTCAGTGGAGGAGAATTCAACGCCTCGTGAGGGTTTAACCCCCCAAACATTTATGCCACTGGAGAAATTGTAATTTTCAAAATAGATTCTGAAGCGCCCATATCTTTCACACAAAAAACGTCCTCTTGTCTCGATGCTCTAAAGTGAACAGTTTCCGCGAAAAATGGCTCTTCATGAATAAGAACATAAAAAGTCCTGATGGTATCTCCATAAATTTATTGTTAAGTTTATTGAGTGTTGTAAAGAATGTAAAGTGTCTTTAATTAAACTGAACATTTTTGATTTTTTGACGCCCTGTATCTTGAAAACGGAAGCCCGAAGAAAAATTTTGAAGAGGAAAGAAATGATTCTTTTATTATGAGGAGTCTACAGTTTTCCGTTGTGACACTTATTTGTTAACACCCTGTATATATCATATATCATCATATATCCGGACACCGTCAACTCAAGTAATTTTCTGATAAATTACTGATGTGGGCGCCGAAATGATTCCTTATATTTCAATGTTTATTCCATACTCTCAGGTTTTCACCAGTTGATTCTCGCCAATTTTTTTTTATCGCTTGGAGCGCACGAAAGGGAATCCCTATAATGTTCAAAGAACATCGTGCGTTCCTAGGGAGGAGAGGGATAGGAGGTAGGTATTGGAATTTTTTTTGAACTTCTGGAGATTATATGTTGTTGGGAATACTTTCTCAGGCAATGAATTCCAGAGCCTAGCCGTTGTATGGATGAAGGAGTTTTGATAAAGTGTTGTTCGACATCTTTCGAGGTTGACAACGAAAGGATGTGCTGACTGGGCTTGTGTAGTTCGTCTGACTGGTATTGCTAGTAAAGGAATGATAGCAGAGATTTCCGAAGAACATTTCCCGTGGAAGTATCGATAGAAAAGTGAAAGGTCGCCGACCTTTCAACGATGTTCCAATGATGTCAAAGAGTGAATGAGTGTGGCGTCACCCACCAGACGGATGGCTCTTCTCTGGATGGAATCTAAGAGCATCAGCGTATGTTTTGGTGCTGAACCCCATATGTGGGAACAGTATTCCAGAACATGCCGTATCTGCGCTTTGTAGATCATGAGGAGCTGTTGAGGTGTAAAGTAGCTTTCCGCACGGAACAATAATCCGAGTTTTTTGAAGCAGCTTTTGCGATGGATCTGACATGATCATCCCATGAAAGAGTGTTGCTGATGGAAATACCGAGCATAGAATATGGTGGACTTGGTGGGGATGGTAGTGCCAGACATTACAATGTCGGGCATACTGAGTTCCGCCTTTCTAGAGAAAATACAGGCTTGAGTTTTGGTGGCGTTGAATTCAACTAGGTTGTTGGTTCCCCAGGCTGTGATTTCAGCTAGGTCTTCATTGACAGCATTGACCTGCCTGCGCCGTGAGTTCTTAATTTCCTGGGAAGAAATGGGAATTCTGGAAGAGAACGCAGTATGGAGGGTACTATCATCTGCAAAGCTGTGGATGGGGCAAGTTGTTT